TCACTCACTCACTCACTCACTCACTCACTCACACACACTCACACTCACACACTCACACACTCACACACTCACACACACACACACACACACACACACACACACACACACACACACACACACACACACACACACACACACACCTGATAAGATGGGATTTTGCTAGTAGCTTTTAACTCTCATGCCCCTTTCCTGCCTACAGAAAAAGAAAACTAAACATTAAACAGCAGGTTTTGACATACGTTGATATTCGTCTTCATATTTTTCATCCATCTGATGTTCTCATCATGGTCCTCGTGTCCACACATCCATGCTGGGTTTCTCTATGGGTCGGTAAGTTTTAAAAGTAATGGACGTAGCATAAATATAAGGGGAGAGAGGGTGATAACGGTCCCGCTCCACTCGAGAGCAGTGAGGAGAGGCCCCCTGTCACTGCCCACCAGGAATGATTCATGTGAACAATTTGTCCTAATTACTCCAGCCCAACACTTTTGTCACTATTAATCATACACACATGCTCGTACACACTCACACGTGCACGCATAGGGCCAGTCAGTGGAGATCAGTGTCCTCGCAAATTGAAATAGATGGCCAAGACGATGGTGAGGAGGATGATGGCGCCCAGGATGAAGACCAGAATACGATTTTGAATGATCCTGTTGGTGAGGAGAGGGAGAGATGGAGAGAAAGAGAAGACAAGATTAGACGATAGTAAAAAACTACCCATTTAACATTTTCACACAAACTAGCATGCATGTGATTGAGTACATGCCCCGCATGCATTTTTCTGACTGAACTCGATAAACACATTTCACTTCAGTCATACGTGTCTTCTAAAAACATAAAATAAAAATAACAAACAGACTTTCGTGCAAAACATGTCACCCGGTGTGACAACTTTGCCTTTTTCCTCTCCATCTGTCTGCAGACACGCTTAGAGCATTTATTTTTCTCCAGAAAGTAAAAAGTGTGGCTTGTGGCATTCCTCAAGCTAATAAATTTCACATATTTACTGATGGATTTCTCCATAAAACCCACTTTCCTATTGTCACATGACCAAACCAAACAGGCAATTTGTGCCTGCAGGACAGTATTTGAAATTTTAGTATTTGCACATTTATTTCTTCCCGAGGTCTCAAAATGAATTGATATGCATATTACATATAAACTACCACCTAAAAGTTTGAAGTCGGTCAGGTTTTTTTTTTTTTTGTTGTTGTTGTTGTTGTTTTTTATGTTTTAGAAAGAAGTGTCTTATCCTCACCAAGGCTGCATTTATTTGATTAAAAATACAGTAAAAACTATTGCGAAATATTATTACAACTTAAAATAACTGTTTTCTATTTTTAATATATTTTTTAAATGTAATTTATTACTGTGATGGCAAAGCTGAATTTTCAGCAGCCATTGCACCCATCTTCAGTGTCACATGATAATATGCTAATATGCTGATTTGGTGGTCATTTCTTATTATTATTAATGTTACAAATAATTGTGCTGCTTAATAATTTTGTGGAAAGCATGATGTATTTTTTCAGGATTCTTTGATAAAAAGCAAATAAAAAATTTTATTTTTTCCCCAAATCTCAAAATGCAGAAAAAGTTATTCTGTTTGTCTCTACTCAGAAGTACCAAAAAGAGCTAAACAAACTGTTTGAAAAGTGGCAAAGTGGTACAAAGTGGGTGTGTGGACAAGTACAGTGAGGGTGAGAGCGGGAGTTGTAGGGGTGAGACCCTGGGATGATCTCTCGGGGCAAGTTTCTGTCTCCTGTGTCATTCCTGATAAATGACAGAATTATCCCATGTGCTGACATGTGGAGAGAGCAGGACCACTGTCCACTCCTATAAGCAGGAGATGAATAACTCACACACACCCATTCATCACCACTGCAGCCGAGCAGCACTCCGCCCCATTCAACACGCACACACACAGAGATATAGAGATGTACAGTGAAGAAACCAAAATGGCATTACAACACATACCTCAATGCTGCTGCTCAAAACTGACTAGTATTCATATTATATCTATGCTCTGAGATGTTTATTTTGTTAAGATAAACCATCAGAGGCTTTTCCACCACACTGACAAAAGGTGTGTTCTGATTGGACGCTGGGCCGGCATAATTCATAATTGGGAGTGCATGCTTGGAGGAGGACATTTATTTAGAGCATGTTTAGCAAAGCCAGATCTCCCACATGTCTCTTTAAGTAGCATTCATTATTTACACACACACATAAACAGAGCAAGAGGACAGACTGTTCATGATGTTCAGAGATGTGCTGGTGCCCAAAGGGAGAGGAAACAGCCGTGGGAGAGGGACGAATGGGAATTCTTGGGTCTGTAAAAAGAATGTGTGCTACAGGATGGTACTGATTCTGTGCTCACTACAACTGGAGGTAATTTATGTCAAGATCAAGATCCTTATGATTTTGCAACTTCCTGTCAATCAATATTAAGATAAAGTATGGCACTCTTCAAAGGGGTCAGTTTTTTTTTTAAAGAATTTAAAGATTTCTTTCAGCAAGGACACATTACATTGATCTAAAGTGGCAGTAAACGTTTATAATGTTACAACAGATTCCATTTCAAATAAATGCTGTTCTTTTGAATATTCTATTCAACAAAGAATCCTGAAGAAAAACAAGTATCAGTGTTTCCACAAAACACCTCGCCCTTAGTTTCTGTTGCTACGTCCAACAAGCCATGGCACTTTCACGCCATACTTCATAATCTCACACAGTAAAAAATACACCGCAGAGCAAGAGAAGACTGTCAACGTGCTGACAGACAAGACAGAGCAGGTTACTTCTGGTATGAAACGAAGTCTCAGCTTTCAAATTTGGTCCATTTTTAAGAAATGTAAACAAATACCATTTTGTGGCTCTTTAATGTGTCGTGACAGATCGCTGTAGCGCCTCAGTTTAAACGGCATGTGAACTGATCGTCTCTTCATATTTACTACTAGGGTTGGGCCGATAGACGATCCATCCATCGCCGATGGCTGGCAGACATCATGATGTTGAGCCGGCATCGTGACCCCCCCTCCCCCCCCCACCCACATACCCCCCGCATTCCGCAGCATCCCAATTCCATGTTCGGAAAGGAAATTAAGTGTACTATGGAACCCATAAAGGGAATAAATAGCCTACGAGATGGATAAAAAAAATGTCTCTCACAATTATATCGTTGGGTAATTGCAGGCATCAGGGAGCCACTACTAATATGCAGGGCATTGAAACCGCTTTCGAGTTTTATATGACAGTTTCTTCATTAGAATTCAAAACGACATCAGTAATAGAGTCTTTCTCTTAATTATCAACCAAAGTGTTTGAACAAATAAAAATCCTCCAAATAATCATATCCACTCTTATATTAAACTATTATCCACATTATATTAAACATTAGTTATATCCCACTGCCCTTGTCCTATGGCCAGCATGCTAATCTAATGCTGACAGTATTTGGGATTTTAGAAATATGAGAAGTGCAACAATAACGTGACCCAGCTGGAGTGTTCCTGCTCCAGATTTGAGAGCTTTTAAAAGCTCAGGCCTGGAGCAATAGACTGCTTTCAGAAATAAAGAGACAGGAAGAAAGAGGAAAAGAAACAATGGAGAAGATGTTGTATAAGATTCATTTTGTAATGAAAGAGCACTGCAAAAGTTAATCGATACTACTGGTGTGGACTGCCGCTGAAAGCCCATCCTCGTGGTAGAGGATGATGTCTCCAGTGGATTCTCAGTACTGAACCTAAACATTACTCCTGATTCAGACAGAATTTGACTGGCCAAAAAAAAGTGATGTTTGTGCTATTTGATATAAAAAAATGTAAGTCCAGTCTGATTTACAGTATTCTGTACATAATGCTTATGCATACATGTTTTAATATACTCTGAAGCATACAATATTCACATACTGACAGCATCTTAAAACATATTTACATACAGCTTTTTTAAAGTAAAACTTTATGAATTCTTAATATTACATAAATAATTACATTTTTTAATTGCTACAAAAAGTCTATTTTATATAAATGTTGTACATCTGAGCTTTCCACACATTAGGGTTGGGCCGATAGATGGGCCCCCTCCCCCCTACCCCCCGCAATCCACCGCATCACAATTCCGTGTTCGGAAAGGAAATTAAGTGTACTACGGAACCCCTAAAGGGAATAAATAGCCTACGAGATGGGAGGATAAAAAAAAATATTTCAATACTTTCTCTCGCAATTATTTTGTTGGTTAATAACACTAAATTGCGGGCATCAGGGAGCCACTACTAATATGCAGGGCATTGAAACCGCTTTCGAATGTGCACTCTCATTTTACTTTCACTTTCGAGATTTGCGATCACACGGACTCTATACTACGGAGCGGCAGTACCTACCACACATTTTACAAGATTAGATATTTGCCAGTGGTGCTCAGTACATGCAAATCATTCGCCATTGTTCTATGAGTCATCTCTCTTTACTGTGTATGTGGTAAGTGAACTTTCATGTACTAGTCTACCGCTAACCATGTCCCTTTAGTGGCTCCATAGATCGCATTATTTGTTTTCCGTGCCTTTCTGCATACGGATTCTCGCTTCGGGCACACCCCCTAACCCTGCCCCCCGATGTCATCATCCATCACGATGTTTCACTGTGGATATCGTCCGATGCCAATTTGGTAGACATCGCCCAACCCTATATACTACTATTTATAGCACAGAATAAACATGAATGAACATCAGAAGATATGATGTTTCAACCATGGAAAGACGTCAATACACAGTTCAAGTCCACTGACGTTAATCTACTGTCTACACTCCTGTCTGGTTTGTTTGTAAGACAAAATGGCGGATTTGGCATTATGATTGGTCAGATCGCCTGTCAATCAAACTCCCGGTGAAGGGTGAATTGAAGCTCTTCTGCACAGTAATTTTACCATGGTAAAAAGGGTAATATTACTTGCTTGTGGTATGTTAACACCAGTGTTGGGGAAAGTAAATTTTAAAAGTAATGCATTACAATATTGCGTTACTCCATTAAAAAGTAACTAATTACGCTACTTAGTTACTTTTTATGGAAAGTAATGCATTATGTTACTTTTGCGTTACTTTTTAAACCTGGACAGGGCTTGCTTGTTTGTTTTTCAAATAAAAAAGTTATATTTTTGGCGAATATAAAAGCCTTTTCACAAGCCTCAGGCTGAAGGGAAAGTAAGTTTTTACGTCCGTACAGTAGAATGCAGAAGAAGAAAGTTCAACACACTTCAGCAATAAAAAAAGACACACAAATGTTTGTCTAGAGTAATTTGTGCTTATTAGTACGGTTAACTGGATCATCGAAGCTCAGAAGCAAAGATTGGTTAATAGAATGGGATTAAATACATAAAGGATATTTGTGTTGTTTAACATTTAATTATTGCAGGTTTGCGTCATATTCTGAGTTGCATTATTTTTATTCATTTTGAGGAATACTGAATCTGTGTTTTTGTGAGCGAGGTGAATTAATGCATATTCATATTTATTTTAGAACTACAGTAACATCTTCTGATTTCTCTCAACATGGGGACAGGAGAGCTGTCAATCAATAAATTGGAAAAAAAAGTAACTTGCGTTACTTATTTGAAAAAGTAACTCAGATATTCTTTTGTAAATTAAAAAGTAATG